ATCCTGGCCGTGAGGGAGATCTACGAGGAGCACAGTCGGCTCAGCGCCCTGGAGGATGACATGGACTGAGAGCAAGGTGCTGCCAGGCTGGCTGCGCTCCAGCCCCAGATGCCTCATCTCCCTGCCCCTCGCTGCAGGGCGGGGGCCATGCAGTGCGGGAGAGGACGGTGCTGTGGCAGCGCTGTCCTTTCATTGTCACCAGACTTGGACATCCCATCCTGCTCATCACAGGCCTCTCATACGTACGTGGCCCCCACGCTCAGCATTGCCTCCCGTCCCAGCTTGCTGGGTGAGCCATCTTCCCTGGGGCCAGTCCCCACAGCACAGGGGTGGCAGAGTCCCCAAGGCAGCCCTGTCACCCATCCTACCCCCAGTCCTGACACTACCCTCCTCTCCCCCTGCCCTGGGACAAGAACCGCACAATATGGCAGAGCACCGTCTGCGACCAGGGGCCCGGACTCTTAATTCCCCCCTTTCCTTAGCATCCCCTGGTGAGGCTGCGGGTGGCATGGCAGGAAGGATGGCTCTGTTGCTGAGGCAGGATGGTGTTTGCAGGCCAGTGGGGAAAGACGACTGCCAGCCCAAGAGCTGCTGGGTCAAGGGGAAGGTTTGGGCTGGCTGCAAGGAGCGGAGGAAGCCGGCACTGGAACACGAGGGCAAAGACTTGGCCTCGCCGTGGGGACGCCTCTCTCGTATGCAGCTGGGCTGCCTCCCTTGATTTTTGCCAATGTTTTCTGAGTCGGCAGAAAACTGATGGAGACGGGTCTGTGCCAGCACTGCCCCTCTCCTCCCCACTGTCCCCTGTCCTGGCATAACCCCCCTCTCCCTGGCACAAGGTGCTTCCGGCTGGGGCTCGGGCAACCGCTGGCAGAAGCAATGAGCTCTGCCTCCTCTGCTCCCTCCCAAAGCAGCAGGGTACCAGCACCCTGCCCAGTGCGAGCCTGGCCCTGGCTGTGCTGCTGCCTGCTGCCTCCTGCCCTTCTCGTGTTCTGGTTGGTTTTCTTGAGCTGTACATGGGTCTCCTGTTGAGCCTGTATATATTGTTCTGGGCCCTGGCCCGGGGCCTTCTGTTCTCTGTGTCCATGTGGAGAGCGAGCCACTCACCAGTCTTGTTGTAGTGATGCCAGGGCAGTAGGACTAACCTGTGTCTCTGGAAACCATTCATTTCAAATAAAGATGCAGAAATCTTTGGGCAGCCCCTGCCCTTACCCCTCAGGCAGGGTGGGCCCTGCCGGCGAGCAGAGCCCTGTCCCGCTGTTGCCCTGCACCTCACTCCTGTCTGGCCCAGCTTGAGCTGCCTGCGCTTCTGGCCTTGCCTGGTTCCTGGTGTGCTGCCAGCTCTGGGGTGGCCCCTGACCCCGTGCCTGCTAGTGCCAGCCCTGCCCGTCCCTTGCCCATAGCACTGCAGCCCAACCCAACCCAGTGGTGGCCCTGCCCTGGCCACTCAGTGTTTTCTACAGGATGGACTGGTCAGAGAGCAATGCCACAGTGCCCATGGGTGGAGCAGGAGTCGAGTGAGGTGTGGTAGGTCTTTATTTGCTCACCCAGTGCTGACAGGCCCCTGGCCCTTCTCCCAGGAGCACAGGGAGAGGCCGAGCTGTGGCCCTGGGGCCGTGCCCATCTCACACTGGCCATGGGGTCCATGCCACGAGCCTGGCAGGGCCCAGAGACAACCATAACTGCCCACCCATGCACTACACATCCCCAAGCATCCCAGCAGGCCACGTTCACACTACGAGGCCTGCTGCTCGCGCCTTCCCCTGGGACCCACCAGCCACTCCCAGCCATGCACCCCCTTTCCCCAGGTGTGCCAGGCTGTGGGGGGCTCCATCAGCAGCCACGGGGCTGCTGCATGACGCGGTTGCTGCGGGGTCCCACGGGACCACCAGGACTGGGCAGGATGCGGGACTTGGAGCCGGAGCCCTGCCGGCACTTGGTGAGACCCAGGTGGTAGATCTCCACCAGGTTGAGCAGCAGGGACACACAGGCCACCCCCAGCATGAAGAGGATGAAGATGGTCTTCTCGGTGGGCCGGGAGATGTAGCAGTTGACAGTGTTGGGGCAGGGCCAGCGGCTGCAGGTATAGAGGGGCTTCAGCTGGAACCCATACAAGGCATACTGGCCCACAATGAAGCCCACTTCCAAGAGAGCCTTGAAGACGACGTTGCAGATGTACGTCCTCAGGATGGCCCCCCGCATGCACACCCGTCCCCGTGCGTCCCCCACACAGGGAGCCGGGGCTGCCTGGGTTGTTGCCGCCTGGCCCCGCTGCTGGCCCACGCCGCTGCTCGCTGCTGCTCCTTCTCCTCCAGATGTACCAGGTGCAGGATGTGGCCCAGGTACACGAGGCTGGGGGTAGAGACGAAGATGATCTGCAGGACCCAGAAGCGGAGGGGGGAGATGGGGAAGGTGCTGTCATAGGAGGCGTTCTGGCCGCCCGGCTGGAAGCCAAACAGCCCGGCGCCCCAGACCCGCTCAGCAGCCGCCCCCAGCACCAGGATGCGGAAGACGAAGAGGACGGTGAGCCAGACCTTCCCCACCACCGTGGAGTGCTCCTGGGCACTCTCCAGCAGCCGCCCCAGCAGGCTCCAATCCCCCATTGCCGGCGCCGCAGTGCCCTGCAAGACAGCCACCCTCCAGCCACAGCCACCCAACGACCTCCACAGCTGCCACCCCAGCCCCCCGCCGGGTGGGCATGCAGGACCCCAACCTGGGGCTGTCCCTGGAGCATTCCGCACCCTGCGTCCCATGGGACACCCCTAACCTGTCACGGGAAGGACAACGGGAGAAAAGACCTCTGCAGAAAGCAGCCCCGCCACGCTGGAAGGGCCGTGGGGGACACTGCGGTGGTGGCGGTGGGGCGTGACCCCTCACCGTTGGCAGACGCGTGGGGCAGAGCCCAGTGCTCCCGTGCCGTGCGCTCCGCTCAGCTGGGCAGTGCAGGATGCTACGAGGCCCCTTCCCAGCTGGTCCCTGGTGGTCCTTGGCTCCTCAGCAGGTGCAGACAGGTCTACCCAGCTCTGTTCATCCGTCCACCCGATGGTGGGCGCAGGGTTATTGGGGCATGAGGCAGCTGCCTGCCCCATTGGCTTTCGTTGTGACTGGCAGATGAAACAGCCACTGGGGAAACTTTTTCCCTCTATTTTTGGTCTGGGCAATTTTCTAAATATATTTGGGGCTGCAGGGGCTGGTGTTGGGGGAGTGCAAGCCCTTGAACACCGCTCAATGCCAACCAGGGGCCACTG